TCTAATGAAAAAATTGTATTTCATTTGGTAATTTGAGAATTATTCAATTAGAAAATGAATTTGCGTGAATGAATGAATAGAAAATGAATGAAAATAGTAATTAACCTAATATTAGGCAGAAAGGCTTTTTGGTATTTACCGATTAGAAGTCCGGAAAGGCAACAAATTACCGATTGCATACCCGTAGAAATAACATATCGTATTCTCTCTAATAGTAGTGCACCCTGAGCGTTGCCTAAATTGCTCAAATTCTCGAGAACCGCTTATCAGAACCTATCGATGTGGGGTCGAAAAATGTAGCTGACGATGAGATCTTGTGGGGGATTTGAGTGTTGAGCTTCTGTGAAAACTTTGGAAGCCGTAAAATAGTCATCAGCTCGGCTACCAATCTACCGTAACAAATCCAACAAAGCTTAAAGAAGCTGGTGACTAAAGGAGAAGCTGATCTCAAAGAAGCTAGTCCCTAATACCAGCCCATAAGCTGACGATGAGATCTTGTGGGGAATTTGAGTGTTGAGCTTCTGCAAAAGCTTGGAAACCGTCAAATAGTCATCAACTCGGCTCGCCGGGGTGCACTACTATTAGAGAAAATACGGTATTTAGATAGAGCATTTGAACAAAAAATTTGCGGTTCTTGGTCATTTTTAAAAAAACTCAGGTTACTCAAAAAAGGAAACCGGTATGATGCAATTAAATGCTAATTTTCTTAACCTTTCCAGGTGTGTAATCAGTAAGTACCGTCTTTTCTTTCAATTGTTCAATTTGGTGCAATTGGTTTTAAGCGAAAGTACGAAAAGGAAAGTAAAGACTTTCAAGATTGAAAACGAATGAATTAGAATTAGATATTAGAAGAATAATAATAATTAGATAATTAGAATTTGAATGACTTAGAATAATAATTAGATAATTAAAATTAGAATGGCTTAGAATATGTTCCTTCTTAAGTAGCGCTTTTTGGTTACTTACATGTTACATTTACTTATTTACATAGCTTACATTTCCATCTCTCTCCCTCCTTTTGAAAACATCCGTCTTTTCCAAAGTTTGTTGCCATTTTTGTAAATATGAATCTGAAAAAAAAGGAATTTAAGCTTCAAAAAACCTAACCACTTTTTGGTTTTTGTTTTCCACGTTTTTGTTTTTGTTTTTTTTTTGCCAAAACCTGTTTTAGACGTATCATTCTAAAACTGGCATACTGGCATACCCTATTCTTAAACTAGTCATGTTGTATAGATAGATGAGTTGTTTAGACGTTGTATAGATGTTGTTTATATGTTGTTTAGATGTTGTTTAGACGTTGTTTAGACGTTGTTTAGATATTACAGTAGCAGATATTAACTTACGATATTTTTTTTCTTTCTAAACACACAAAATTAATCTAATTGTGTAAAAACAATTGTATTTTGATGTTCTAATTTCAAAAATTTGTTTTTAGAACAACTTAGAACAGAAATCCCGATGACATTAACTGATGATATTTATAGTTCCTATTTGGTTACTTTATAATTCCTATTTCGTTCCTATTTCGTTACTGTATAGTTCCTATTTAGTTCCTTTATAGTTTTAATCAAGTTGTTCTAAAAAAATTTTTTTTAGAACAACTTGATCCCGATGACATTAACGGATGATATTTTGCAAAAAACAAGTTGCCAACAAATAAACAAAACAAATAAACAACACATAACAAATAAGTATTGAGTAAAAACGTTAATACTTTGTTGAAAAACTTTTGGCATCAATTACGGCCTTACAGTGACGTTGCATTGACTCAATGAGATTGTCGATCGTTGCTTGGGCATCTCACTCCATTTCTTGACAAGAAGATCAAATTTTTCCTTGGAATTCTTTGTTTTGCAGCTTTTGCACCTTTTGCAGCTTCTTTCGAGTACGTCTCATAAATATTCAATCGCATTCAAGTCCAGACTTTGACTTGGCCACTCCATCAATTGAATTCCTTGTTGAGTGAACCATTGGGAAGCTGTCTAGCTTGATGCTGCATGTGCACGATGCTTTGCGTCATTGTCTTGTTGATAGATGAAGTTCAGTGGCATAAAACAAGTCACACTTGTCAGCATATGGTTTTGCAAGATGTCCAAGTAAATATGTTGATCCATAATGCGGTTTATGCGCTTCAATGCCACCAATCCCACCAATCCATGGGACGAGAAACCTTCCCATACGGTTACACCACCACCTCCATGCTTCACAGTCGGCAAAACATATTTGGCTCAAATCTTTGATTTGGAGGACGTCGTACAAACTGTATGCCATCAGGTCCAAACAAATTGAACTTGCTTTCGTCAGTAAAAAGTACATTTGCCCATTGTTGCGGGGTCCAGGTAACGTGATCCTGAGCGAATTTCACCCAAAGCTTGCGATGAGAGAAATCAACGGTTTTTGAGCCGAGCGTCGTCCGAATATCTTTGCCTGGTTCAGTCGACGCTGTACTGTTCGGGGAGAGATTGTTTCCTTGACTCGTTTTGGCAGCTCTGCATGAATATCGACTCCTCTTCATTGGATCCATTTTGGAGAGCTAAAGAATTCGATTAATTTCCGTGGACTTCCGAGGCTGTCCTTTGTTCTTCTTCGCAGCAGTAGATCCAGTTTGTCGATAACAAAATAGACGAAACAGTACTCTGGGTTATCGATAATAATAATAATCGATTTGAGCGATAGCCTCTTGCTTGTTCTGTTGGCGATGAAGTCGCAATAAATCCCCCCATTTCTCCATAGACATTTTTTTTCTTTTTCCCATCTCTAAAAATGAAAATAAAGAAAGACTAAATTGTAAAAAAAAACCAAAAAAATAAAGTATAGGAACTAAATATAAACAAAAAATAATTATTTTTTTTCAAAATATTATCTATTAATTTCGTCGGGGTTTCTAATAAAGTTGTTCTAAAAAAAAATCTTTTTAATGCTACCAAGTTTTTGAAATTGGAATATCAAAATACGATTGTTTTTACACAGTCAGTTCAATTTTAAGTTTATAGAATAATACTAAATATTATCTATAAAAATATCTCTACCGACTTTGAACCGACTTTTGAGGATCGCTGCAGTTAATCCCCGCTATTCGTTGGTCATTCACTACATCGAAAGGCTACTTGAAGCCCCATAACTTGTGTTCTTTTTATCAAATCTTGCTAATTTAAAAAATTTAACATAATTATCAATGATTCTGCGTTGAATGATACTAAATACTTGATGATTGGACGCTCCTAGACCCACTCATTCATAATCGGCTGAAATTCATAATCGGCTACGACATATACAAAAATATCTCTACAGTGCTCAACTTTTACAGTGTTAGCTTTTGAACGTTGAAAACGTGCAGTTAACCCCTTAAATCTTTTTAATGCTACCAAGCTTTTGAAATTGGAATATCAAAATACAATTGTTTTTACACAATCAATTCAATTTTTAGGCTCATTTATTAAGAAAGAAATATGATAAGTTAATGTACGCTATTGTATCTACAAAATTGAAACCGTTTAGAGATATTATATACTAAATATTATGTATAAAAATATCTCTACCGACTTTGAACCGACTTTTGAGGATCGTTGCAGTTAGTCCCCGCTATTCGTTGATCATTCACTACATCGAAAGGCTACTTGATTGAGATCTAAAGATCTAAAGATTTAAAGTTTTGAAAAAGCTAAAAAATCAACTCAAAAAGTTAAATTTAAAGTTAAACTATTCAAAAAGTTAGATAGCTTTTTTAGTTTTTTTTTTTGGATTGCCTCCAAAATCAAAAAAAGCGTCTTGAGGGTTTTCTTAAGCAATTTTTTTGAAAACTCTTTAAAAACCAGAAATCGATAAATATATCAGAAAAATTTAATGAAAAAAATCTGGTTTATATTCTAATCTGGATAATATTCTCCAAAAAAAGTCCTCTTATTAGAAGTGAGATAGAGTTGATAGTTAGTTGATAATTGATAGTTGATAGATAGTGAGATAGAGTTCACTGTTGAACCACCGTCGAAGTTTGGTGTCAGAAATTTTGCTCAAAAATTCTTTAAAAAGGCATATAATTTATTAAGTGGCCATTAAAAAAGACAAAAAAGACAAAATTATTTTAAAAAAAGTGAAACAAAATAGTGAAATATAAAAAAAAGAAAGTCAAAGCACAAAAAAGAAAAGGAAATCAATAATTTGAAAAATGTACATAAAAGCGTTTTCTTAAAAAGCGTCTAGAAAAGTATCGTAATCGAATTTGATTCAGTTCAGCTAAATTTTCGCAATTTTTTTTTTGCGCAACAGGGCCTTGGCGCAACTTGCTATAACTTTCTTCTAAGCCGGCCAATCTTTATGCTTTTGGTTTCATTTTGTAGATCTCAATAAGTGCAACAAAATGACACCAACATCATAAAGATTGGTCGACTTAGAAGAAAGTTATGGAGAGTTGTGCAAATGACTCTGTTGCGCAAAAAAAATTGCAGAAATTAGCCTATCCCCAATTTTGGTATCATTGAATAAGGCTCAGTCAATGAAATAAAAATTGAAAAATTTTAAAGATTACGGTAGCTTTCTAATGCTTTTTAGGCTTTCTAATCCTTTTTAGAAAACACAGATACCAGTGAACTTTTTGCGATACTTTTACAATTTTTTAGACAAAATTTTGTGGGAATAAACTTGACAATGACAACAATTTCAATATCAATTTCTAAATATCTCAAGTTTCCTGGATTGAATCCTTAAAAAGTACCGACCAATCACAGCATTTAAAAACAAGAAATGATAAGCGAATCAGCAGGGGAGAAATTTTTTGACGGACAATTGTCATATCCGTTTATCCGTTTATCCGTTTATCCGTTTTTGGAAAGCCTCATCGGTATCATTAGGTTCTTTACCCGATTTTGATTCCCGATACTTTAGATAATTTATAAGATTTTGTAGCTTTTTTTTTATAGATCTTTTTATTATTTGAACCTATGAATTTGTCTCTAATTTTGGAATCTCGAAATCGTATCAATTTCTAATCTCGAATCCATTCATCTCCAATTCCAACATTTTCCAACTGCACTATGAAGACCTCCGTCTTTCACAATTCGCAATTCAAAAAACGGATCTTCTTCGTTTGAAACGGGTGCTGAAACAGGAGATTGATTGGATTACAAGGATTGATTACAAGAATGTTTCGACCTTGGGGTCAGATTGTATTGAATTGAACCTTGAAAAATTGACATCTTGCTATGAGATTAGCACTTGACTCACTATCAGCTTACTATTAGAGTCTAGGCTATGACCGGGCCATGTTAAACTGGCTCTTGGGTCACTTGATCCGTGCACTTCAGTACAGCAAAGCTGAATAAGTAAACAAGAAATTTCTTTGCTACTTTTTTTGTTGTCACTTATCGATTAGAATGTGATTTAAAGCGCGTCAACTAGCAACTGACCTGTGAGTTGGGGGACGGTCTCGGGAACTGGCTCAATCAGGGGTTCATTGGGCTGAGGTGGGTACTGAGGTAGATCGTCAAAGATAGCGGGTAGGCTAAAGAACTCTTTGATCACTTTTCAACCAGAAGCATTCATTTTTGTTTGAACATTTTGCACAAATGAACTGATAGATTCTATAGAGCTGATAGATGCTCATTTGTTTAACCCCAGCTCTACTTATTGATGTTTTTCCTCCGGCCCAGCGATGTTCCTGTAAACCAGGCTGTCCAGGCAAGGCCAGTATTCAATCATTAATACAATATCTAATAAAATTAAGCTTTAAACTCATTTATTTGTAAATCATCCGCTTTTATTTTCAACTGTATCCACTCACCGCGGCTTGTCCTCGATTTGATTTCGATCCATACTCGTGATGAGAATCTCGTGATCGACCCGTATCCAAAAGAAAAGCTAAATTTGATCGTTTTTTCAAGAAGAAACCTTGAAAAATACAATATTTCAAAATCATGAGGCAAAAAAAAGGACTGGATATTTTTATGAAGTCACAAAAAGGAGCGTATACTTGCGACATTTTAAGAGGTGATTCATTGATAGAAAATAATGTAGAACTTGAATAAAATGAGAAAAGATATTTAGTTAATGAAAAAACATATATTTGATCCGTTGAGAAGACTATTTGTGTGGGTTGAGGTTGGAAAAAAGGGGCTTATCTTCTAGGGGCGTACGGTAACTTCTCTCGCTACCAATTCAGTTTTTCAAGATGCCTAGAACTTCTTATAATAATTCTGTTTGTTTGCCGCAACTCTAAGAATACTGTAAATGTTATTTGATGGTTTATGACAAATGAATCAAAAAAGTGAGTGATTTTTAGACGTCTAGTCAACTTTGGACTATTTTCTGGACTTACCCGTAGACATAGTACTTTAAAGAAAGGCACATATTATTCAAAATAGTGCTGTTAGCCTAGTACACGTGTCTTTACTTACTACTACTTATAGTTAGTGTTAAATTGCACAGTTAGGGCTACCAAAAGGATTCTTAAATCAATGGCGGTTGAGCAGTTCTTCTTCTCTTCTTCTTCTTATTCTCAGCTGATTTCTCAACGTTAGCCTGATGCAAGGGAATACAGTAATTCGAAAATTCTTCAAAATGATTGGAAAACTCAAAAGTGAGTAGAATTTGGACTCCGTTTCGGAAGCACCTTGATTTTCGGGAAAAAAATTGAAAGGGATGACTGGGATGACTAATCAAGGCCCTCCCCTTTTCCCTTCATCAAATCCCTTTAATGATAGAAAACAAAATAGATTTAAATTAGAATAACTGGGGGGTAATTGAAAAAACAAACTATGCAACAAACAAACAAATAAGATTCAAAAACCTGGTTTAAAAACTAGTCAAACCGGCTAGCGAAGATAAGCTTACATTTGCAATACATGCATTACATGTAAGCTTAAAAAGCACTCTTTTTATAATAATTACTTCTAAAAATGTATTAATGCAGAAAAAGACGGAAAAAGACAAAAAAAAGACGATTTTGGAGATCCCAAACTAGATATGGGTTTGGTCGATCGTTTTTTGCGCTCCAACGTAAACTAAATCGATCTTAGCACACCCAATTCCCCATTTTTCTCGCCACCAGTTTGGTATAGCCAAACAAAATTTGGATTTGTATGTGCCAGATCGATTTAGTTTACGTCGGAGCACAAAGAACGATCGATCGAACCCATGACGCGACGAACCCAGGCGCGACGACGAACCCAGCGCGACGATCGAACCCAGAGCGCGACGATCGACCCATGAGCGCGACGATCGAACCCAGAGCGCGACGATCGAACCCTGAACCGACGACGAACCCTGGCGCAATCGATCGTACCCCAAACTCGAATTTAACTGTTAACAGCATAGCATTTTTTGTACTCCTCGGCTACGATTGTCAATATCATTAAAAAGTTTTACACTTCTTCTATTCTATGTAAAATTACGCATAGATTTTATGAGTAATTATTTTTTCTCAGCTTAGAGTAAATTGATTAAAGTATTATCTTAGAAACTCAAAAAGATGCAATTTCGCGTAACAACTATGTACAATGAATTTAGCATTTGCAAGGGGGGAAAGTCTCAAATAATAATGAGATGCAAGGGGAAAAAAATTTGATAAAGCTTTTGATGTAAAGAATTCGATTGAATAAACAAAAAGAGAAGAATTATGAAATTTTCTACATAGATTTTTTTTTAAAATTGGATGGAAATTTTCTCGTGCCAACCTTTTTTTTCCGCCTTTTTTCTGCCTTTTCTGTTATCGAGAAAACCGCAAATTTAGAATAAAAAATTGAGGTTTAAATGAAATTTAGCGTAAATTTTGATAGTTTTAGGGAATCTCGAAATGTAAAACTCAGGGAAAACTTGCTTTGTTAGTTTTAGTTAGCTTTGTTAGGATGAGCTAAATGGTTAGGCAAACTTTGCTTGTTTTGCAATTTACTTAACTTTTAGCTTTATTTGTCTAACGAATTTTGGTCTTTTAGCTTTGAATTTTTCAAATTCTAAATCTAAATTTGGTTTTGAACAAAGAAAAATGAGGAGAATTGTACTTTTTTAATGATTAAAATGTACTTTTTCACTTTTAGCATTTGAATTTTTATTTCTTTTTCCCATTTTTTTTGCATATAAAACGAGGTTTTTTTTGATAACTATTAGACCAAATTCCTTATCCAAATTCCCAAATTCCATCACAATTCGCACAATCCTTTTATGGGTTGGGCTGGGAATCCAAAAAGTGATAGCACCGGGATTCGAACCCGCGACCTATCACCCGACCTCTCGCTTAGCGGGCAACCAATGAACCACCAGCACATGCCCCTTTGACGCCAGGAGAGGGCCTTATGTCTTATTATGAGCACTTTTCTAGACTTTAGTCTTGTACGGAGATACTATATACAAGTATTTAAGGTGCTTTTTGGGAAAATAGTGTTATCATTTACAAATTCATTCATCAAAAAAGCCAATTTAAAGTCACAGAGATCAAGCAAAAAGTCACAAATTGAAAAATGCCAACAAATCGCTTCTATTCTTCTAACAAATAGGAAAGTACCGTTCGGTCTTGCTTGTCAGCTTGTCAAAATGTTGCGAATGAAATAATTTGTGAAATTTTGTGAGAATTTGTAACCCGTCAAAGATTTCTCAAACTTAATTCCGAGAATCTCTTTCCCGGAAGGGGAAAGGGCCAAATATCACAAAACGTATAAAATTTTCCACTCGCTAAACTCGCTATCCATTGCTGAAAAATTGGGTGGAGGGGTGAAAGGGGAGAATGGAGAAAGCGAAAAGAAACGGTTCGAATCGATACGTACCCGGCCGTGTTATCTCAAAGAGCCGAAAAAACTTTTGCTTTAAAAGACAAACGACCTGCTAGCTCAATTGCTCGTTTATTTGAGAGTGGGGATTTTTTTTCGGGGTGAGAACTTAAATTCAAACGACGAGAAACGATGAGAATGAGACAATTGGAGATTCTAGGAAAATGGTGATCTTTTTTGTACCGGAAAAGAGATAAGTACATTTGGATCTAAGATTGAAATGGATATTAAACCTGATGAAGAAGAATGAGAGAAATTGTTGGTTCATGTTGCGAAAAGGCGGAGCTTTAGAGGTGGGAAAGGGAGATGGTCTGTGAGCCAGGAAGTCAATGGGAGAATGGGAGAATGAGAGCTTGTTTGTGAGAACTGATGATGAGAAAAAACATCATTGAGTACAAATTTAGACATCTTGAGTACACATTTTAGATATCAATCGCATTTGAGCTCCTTGAAAGTTTGGATCTATAAAAAGAGTTATTTTCCTCGTTGGGTACTATTTTAGCACGGTGTCTGCTTTGGAGAGTCAAAAAGTCTAGGTTTTACGGAAAAACTTTCAATGAAATACTCAAACATGACAAGCATGTCAACTGCTTTACAAAGTACAATAGATTTACATCGAAACGTTTGAAATTTGCCTGGCCTTGCAAGAAAGGATTGCAAGAAAACTAGTTAATATGCGAAGATGAATATTGGGTTGTCCAGTTATGAATGCGCGTTTTTTACTATTCTGTAAATTTCTAAAGATACCGAAATCAAGAAAAAGATATACCGTAATTCTTCGAATAGAAGACCGGGTAAAGAGTATGATCGCGTACTCCTGCGTAGCAGCCCTTTTTAAAATTTCTTTTCTGCATAAAAGCTTGCCATGAAGTGCTATAGAGCTGGAAAATGGCTCAAAAATCTGTTAGCTCATGTGGTATTTTTGAGTCATTTTCCAGCCCTATAGCACTTGATTGAAAGCTTTTATGCAGAAAAGAAATCTTAAAAAGGGCTGCTACGCAGGAGTACGCGATGATACTCTTTACCCGGTCTTCTATTCAAAGAAATACGGTATATGAGTATTATTCGAAAGCTGAAGAACTCCTCTACATTTTGATATAAAAAGCTTTTGGGCAAATTGACTGCACAAAAGAAGAGGTGACCAAAAAATGGAAGGGTGTCTTTGGATCAAGTTTTGGCTTCGCTCAAATTGAGTTAAACGTTTGATGTTTGGCTAATAGATATATCAATACAAGTTTTTTTTTAAATGTAACAATTTCAGAGCATCTTTACTTTTCTTTTCTTTTCTGGGCGGTTATTTTACACGATAAAACTCGAGGAATAGCTAAGCTGGAATAGGTTTTTTCGAAAACCACCTCTCCCTTTGTGCAGTCAATTTCCCAAAAAGTTCAATAAATTCAAAAAAATTTTTATTCCAAAATGTAGAGGAGATCTTCAGCTTTCGAAAATGATATATAACACTCATATACATCTGTTCGATATCTTGAGAAATTTACAAAATAGTAAAAACGCGCATTCATAACTCGACAACCCAATAGAAACCAAAGTACTTTCCGCTAATACGTGTGATTTGGATTCAATTAAATTTAGAATTGATGTACAAAGAATAAAAGGATCGATGAATAAAAGAATAAAAGAAGGGGTAGGCTAGTTTCCGCAATTTTTTTTGCGCAACTGGGCCTTGGCGCAACTTGCCATAACTTTCTTCTAAGTGGGCGAATCTTTATGATTTGTCATTGTAGATCTCAAAAAGTATAACACAACGAAAAAAACATAATAAAGATTGGTTCACTTAGAAGGAAGTTATGGCAAATTACGCAAACGACCCAGTTGCGCAAATGACCCTGTTGCGGAAACTAGCCTACCCCTAAAAGAATAAAAGAATTCACAAAAAACAAAAACAATATAAAAGAAATAGAAGAGGAAAGCAAAAACGCGCCTCAATCTTAAGCACCAAAAAAAAAATGAAAAAAAATGAAAATGACCGACGGGAAAAGGAGCACGAAATAGCAGACGGCCCTTACCAAGTACGGTAGGAAAAGAGAGAACGAGGGG